GCTCGGCCGCCGCCTCCGCCTCCAGCCCGCCGCCCCGGGGCTTCCGAAGTTTCTGGGTCACGTGCCGGCCCCGAGGTCGCGCCTAGTAACAAAGTACACGGGGGGAGAGGGTTGCGGGGGAGGCGGCCGAGCGGGCTGCGAAGAGCCGGGGGCCGTCGGCGCTGCTCCTCCCAGGGAGGCCGGCGTCCGGGAAGCAACGGGGTGGGGGGCTCTGGGAGGGGGAGTCGGTGGACGCAGGTGGCTGTGGCCAACCTGAACCGGGAGAGGGACAGACGCAAGGGGTGGGGGTGGGGGACCTATGCGGACTTGGCATAACTTGTCACGGGACTTCGCCTAGCAGGTCCTCTGGGCAAAGGTGTTTGTTTCTGCTGTGCCCCCCTCCCCCCCCACACACACCAGTCTGCTTCTCTTCTTGGCAACGCAAGGACCCAAGAGGCTCTGCAGAATCGGGAAAGGTAGGAGGGAGACCCGCACTGTAAACTTCTCCTGTGAAAACACTGTGAGGCGTAATAAGGGCATATAGCTCTTTAACAGAAAATATGTAAAACTAGAATGAAATAAACACATATCATTTACATGCGTCCAACTCTTAATCATGAATCAGCCTTTTGGCTAAGATCAAATGTATTTGTCCAACACTTTTCGGTTTGCAGGGTGCATTCACATGGATTATTTCCATTTTTTAAACGGATCTGTCACATGTATAGGAAAGGAGTCGGAGTGTATATGTTGAGAGGCAAGTGAGAAGAAACTTATGCTTTGCTTAACAAGTATGTATTAAGCATCTACTAGGTACTAAGAACTAAGGCTACAATGTAAATAAAGCAGACTTCCTGCCCTTAAAGAGCTTCATCTTGGGTCCAAGAGAGGGAGGAAGGTTAGGCCATTGAACACATTTTGGTAGTAAAATGGAGCAAAGGTGATAATGGAGACATAGTGAAAGTGCCCTCAGAACACAATGGAAGGAGCAATTTAGGGAGGGGGGTCAGCACCACAAGAAAGAAATGGTAACATCTTCATTAGCATTTGCAGAATGGGGAAGATTTGAACTGGTCAGGGATTGGTGGTGGAAAGGGGGCAAGATAGGGAATTCTGGACAGAGAAAAGAAAGGAGACAAGGCAGGAAGGTGTAAAATTGCCTCAGAAACAGAGTAGTTCTAGGCTAGAGGAGAGTTCCTGGAGAGAAAGACCACAGACTTTAGAATGAATTTATATGTGAAAGAGATGAGATGTGAACATTAGAAATGGTGAGAAAGGACTCTGGACACTGATCTTTTATGACTGCTTGACATCTGAATTCCCTTCTTATTGAGACAGGGAAACTAAAAGGACCCATGAAGGACTGCATTTTCGCTCCTTTTCCTGCCTCTATTCTTGCTAGGACCCGCATCCCCACCTTACTCATGTCTTATAGTACAGATAACGTCTGTCCTCCTTGTACAGGTCAAGGAGTTAATGATTTCTTTGGAGTCTTCCAGCACAACAGATTACATCTAAGGAGTGACTGGGTGAGGTCATCATGTAGATCACTAACTCCAGACATCTCGATGCCAAGACTTATGCTCTAGGGCATAAGTGACTTATGGAGGACACCTAAGCACTCATCCTTGTTTTGACTGGTTCCTGGGTATATGGGAGGACATGTACACCAGACCACAATCCTCAATAAAATACTCAGACCCCAAGCAAAGACAAGACTCAATCTCCTGTTCCTCTCTGAGTTCCTCAGATGCTCTGTCAGTATCTACTCTCTCTGTCTTCAGTACCTTCTGTTCTCACTTCCTCTCACGTTTGATTTCTATCCTATCTTGCACAAAGCCAAGGAGCCCTCTTAGCTGGTCCTGTGGGACCTCAGACTCAGCCTGCCTACATCATTATTTTTTAGAAATCCAACCGTGGAAGTCTAAAGCACCTCCCCACCCACCCCAGCTGGGGTACTGGCCCAGGCCACAGGCATGGCCAGGGACCCTCTCATTCAGAGCTTTCTGAATCTGGAGCAAGTGATAAAAGAAGCGGGAATTCTTAATCTCAGGAAACAAACTGAGGGTTGCTGGAGTGGGGGGCGAGGCATGGGGTGGCTGGGTGATAGACATTGGGGAGGGTATGTGCTATGGTGAGCGCTGTGAATTGTGCAAGACTGTTGAATCTCAGATCTGTACCTCTGAAACAAATAATGCAATATATGTTAAGAAAAAAAAAAAAAGAAGAAAGAAGGTAGCGGGAGGGGAAGAATGAAGGGGGGGAAATCGGAGGGGTAGACGAACCATGAGAGACGATGGACTCTGAAAAACAAACTGAGGGTTCTAAAGGGGAGGGGGGTGGGAGGATAGGTTAGCCTGGTGATGGGTATTAAAGAGGGCACGTTCTACATGGAGCACTGGGTGTTATGCACAAACAATGAATCCTGGAACACTGCATCAAAAACTAATGATGTAATGTATGGTGATTAACATAACAATAAAAATAGAAGCAGAGACAGCAGAGAATCAGGTTTCAGCCCCAAGGGGGCGGGAGCACCCAGTGTTCAGAAGCAGCTATGACAGAGGTCAAGCCACCAACTTGCTCTGAGGTGCGATTTTGGCTGTGGTCTTGTATGTGCAGATCTCTCTGGGTTCCAGCCCATTTTTCTGCACCTGGCTCTTCAGCCTTCCTGGCATTTCTGTGAGCCACCCAATATCCTTTCATAAATTCCCTCTCTGTGTATTTTGGCCAGAGATGATTTCTGACACTTGCAGTTAAGAACCTTCACTAATATGCTATGTGAGAGAGATTTGGAGGACTATTTCCTTTCATAAAGGAAAAAGAAAAGAAAAGAAAAATAGAAAATAAGAGTAAAGGAGGTACCTAATATTCCCTATTAGGTTCTCAGCACAGTCCTAGGTGTTTTACAAGCTTTCTCATTTAACCCTAATGCGGAAGCTCAGGCCCAAAGAATGTAATTAACTTCTCTAAGATTAGGTAGCTAGTAAATGGCAGAGGTAGGATTTGAACTGAGGTCTTTTGACTCCAACGCATATGCCCTTTACGCCATAAAAGGGACGCCTAGACCGGAAAGTTGGTATGAAGATGTATTTGCATTATGCTCTGCCATTTATTATGTGCATGCGTGTGACTGTGTGTGCATGGGCAGGTGCACACAATGCCCAAAAGTATGGGCCGTGTTTAGGGTCTAAACATATAGAACAATAGTGTTTTATGCAAAACTTGGACAACTTTTAAGAGTTGAGATATTGGAAACGGGAGATGGACTGAGCAAAGAGAACCTACATGCATGGGCACTGGAAGTGGAAAGTGAGTACCCACCGAAGAAGTGAGCTTCGAATGTGTGCTCTAAGTATGCACCTGTGTGCATGTCAACAGGGTTGCAGGAGACTGGGGGAGGAGCTTGTGCTAGAGTGAGTCATAGAACACCAGGGCCTTGTCCACCAACCTGGGAATTTGTTTTCTGTGTATCACTCTGCATGTCTACCTTCCAGCTGGAGAGGAACAATTGGTCTAGCCTGCATCTTCCTCGATGGCTGGGGCTCCCAGCCATCTCTAAGGAGGTGCCAAACCGGATTAAATCACAGTGTGTGCCCCTCCCAAATGCACCGTTATTACCAAGCTGATGGAAGGTTAAGAGAAACTTTGAGGGTACACCTAAGGATTCAAAACACGCAGCCTAGGGGATGGCAGTAGAAAAAAAGGCAGAACAATGGTATTATTTTACTGTATTGTTGAGGTAGAGGGGGAGGACATCAGAATCCTGGTGTTCCTCCAAGTGTGGTTTTTGAACTTTCAGCCTCAGAATCACATTAAAGTGTTTGCTTAAAATGCAGATTCCCTGGCTCTTGTAAAAACCAAGATAGGGAACTCTGGGTGGGGCCTGAAAATCTGCATCTTAACTGCCTTCCTCCAGCACTTCTGAAGCACTCTAGGGTTTAAGAGGTACTACATAATTACTTTTATTGTTTCCCTGGGGAGCTATTGAGTGGCTGCTTGCAAATCAGCCTCATATTCAGATCTGGTGATGCTCCAGTTATCCATTTCTTCTGGCCAGATAGGACAGATCCCCCAGGAGAGATGAGCTTTTCACAGCCCTGGCAGGGTCTGAATCCCCAATACTTCAAACTCTGTGCTGCAACCAGAGTCAAACACGTCAGAACGTAGGCCTGGATGGGACCAGAGCAGGACTCGAAGAAAGCCATAGCAAGAATTGTGTGTCACAGGGATGCAGGGGGAGTGGACTAGCTGACTGCTTCATCAAAGCCGAACACTTTAGAACAGAATTAGGACATGAAGAGAAGTGAACCACCGCAAGGAGACATGCTGGTAGCTGGTAGCAACCCCATGGTTATAAATATAATGTGGCTGAATCCTCTTTAAAACATGATTTCATTGCAGGCACACAGGCATGCATGTACCTGAATTCTGCTTAACATAGGTCTTTTTAAAGCACACAGATAACATCACATTTCTACTTCTCCTCTCCAGTCTTGACTTCCAGGAAGAATCTATGAGCTGTGACTTTAAAATAGATACCGTGTTTCTTATCTAAGTTTTGTTCAGCTTTCCTTCCCTTGTGCTACCTTTTAGGTTTGTTATCTTCCCCATCTCCCATATCTTCAAAACCACCTTCAATGAATTATAAGTTTTAAAAAAATCTAAATTGAAGCAAGGAACTGAAAAAAAAAATCAGAGATTCTAGGTGCCCTATACTGGAAACTAGAAACATTTTCAATCTGGAAGTCCTTTCATATTGAGGAATAAATTGTTTCATTAAGAAAATGCTTTAAAGAAAGGA